TGGGCTGCCTTGTGTCGCAGGACTTCAAGGGGTTTGTATAGATACAGCCGTCCATGCTGTGCTCCTGCAGGGGTGGGGAGCATGGAGTGTGTGTGACCCCGCAGTCATCTGGGGCACCTCTTCTCTGTGGCTCTGCCACTATTTGCCTAACTCACCTTTTGACCGGCATTTAGGCCATTAGGCTAAATAAGCTGCTATGAATTCCATGTGAAAGAAATAATAAACTGGAACAATGCATGGCTGTGAAAGAAATGCAATTCTTCCCGCAAAGATAAACTGGTGCCCAGATTACTTCACTGAGGAAGTTTTCCAGCCTTTTACATTTTTGTTTATTTATTCCCAGACTTTTTTTTTTTTTTTAATGGGGGCTCTTACAGCTCTGATCACCATCCATCCATCTATTGTGTCAAACATTTGTACATACATTTCCATCATCGTTTTCAAAACATTTTCTTTCTACTTGAGCCCTTGGTATCAGTTCATTTTCCCCCTTCATCATGAACCCTTGATAATTTATAATTTTTTTTCCTGTCTTATACTGACTGCTGTCTTCCTTCACCCACTTTTCTGTTGTCCATCCCCCTGTGGAGGGGGTTATATGTCCATCATTGTGATGAGTTCCCCCCACCTGACCCTTACCCTTATCACTACTGTCATTATTAGTCCTGAGGGGTTTGTCTGTCCTGGATTCCCTGTGTTTCCAGCTCTGATCCGTACCAGTGTACATGCTCTAGTCTAGCTGGATTTGTAAGGTAGAAGTGGGGTCATGATAGTGGGGGGAGGAAGCATTGAGGAACGAGAGGAAAGTTGTATGTTTCATCAGTGCTATACTGCACCCTGACTGGCTCGTCTCTGACTCTTCTGTGAGGGGATGTTCGATTGCCTACAGATGGGCCTTGGGGCTCCACTCTGCTTCCCCTCATTCACATCAATAGCACTTTCTATTTGCAGTCTTTGATGGCTGATCCCATCGACACTTCATGATCACACAGGCTGGTGTGCTTCTTCCATGTGGACTTTGTTGCTTCTCAGCTAGATGCCGCTTATTTATCTTCCAACCTTTGAGACCCCAATGCTATATCTTTTGATAGCCGGGCACCATCAGCTTTCCCAGCCTTGTAAGAGAAAAAAACTACTAATTTTATGCTGAAGTTTCCTGAAAATAGAAAACGAGAGGATACTTTCCTCCCTCCGTTTTCCTCTGAATCCAGCTTAGCCGCATCACCAAAGCCTGACAAGGATGCCATAAGCCAAAACCCAAACTCACTGCCATCGAGTCGATGCCGACAGAGCAGCCCTGTAGGACAGCATGGGTTTCTGACAGGGGAACTCTACGGGAGGAGACAGGCTCTCCTGACCCACAGCAACATGGGAGACCTCCGTGAGCTCACTCCATGGCAGCAGATGCGGTCTGTTGGTATCTCAGGAGAAGGCTAGCCACTTAATTGTGCTCCCATGGAACCTGTCCACAGACCAGGAAGCAGTCGTTTGAATAGAACAAGGGGATGCTTGTGGTTGAACATCCAGAAAACATTCAGGGGGTCCTCCCACTGAGCCCAAGTGTTGAACAGAGAATCGGAGCAGCTGTACCGTTTGAAGAAGAAACGTGCATCCAGATTGGAGGCGGACTCAGCGTCCGCCTGCAATGTCCTGAGAGGGCTTGCAGCACGCACTGAGGAAGGTCAGAGACAACAGCCTTCAGCATCCGTGTCTCAACACAGAGAACACAAACCCTCACAGCCGGCCCAGTAGGCCCATCAAGATACACAGGGGCGAGATGGAAGACGTCAAGGGTTTCATTCGACTTGGGTCCACTGTCAACAAGCACCCATAGAGAAGCAGCAATGAAGACCACACCATACCCAGGGCACTCGCCCAATTTAGAAAAGAACCATCCGTTAGCTCAGGATGAATCCCTCCTGGCGCGTATCCTTGAGGTATGAGCATTTACTGCATGGTTTATACCAACAGACATACCCATCCTTACATTGAGACAAAAGTGGGCCTCTGGTAATGGACAGGAAATGGAGGTGTGCCCGTCTTGGGTCAGAGTTGACAGTTGACGCTGAGTGGTGTGAGTGAGATCCCTCTCGGATGAATCTCGAACTCCTCCTGTAGCCCGAGAGAGGGATATAGCACTCGGCTCTGGGTGCCTGGGGCTTCAGTGGGTGCCACCGGCAGCACACTGGTTCTAGGCCAGGTCCACCTGCAGTCAGGGCCCTGGCTGCTTGCCCCCATCTCAGAGCCTGCAGCGTTCCTCAGCGTTCACTGGGCAGCCCACAGACCCAGGGCAGCTGGCCAGGAGGACGACTTGGAGGCCTCGCTAGGTGCCCTGTGGAGTTGAGCCCAGCCAAGGCCACCGGGTGCCAGGTCCTGCCCACGGTATGTGACACTTCCCCTTGTCTTCAGTGCTCTGGCTGATGGGGGTGGCAGCCTGTGGGAGCAGGTGGGCGGGCTCTGCAGGAAGCTCTCCCCGCCTTCCGGAGTCTGACCTGGGGTGGGGGCGGGGAGGGAATTCCGACCAGTTCCCTGTGTCCAGTCTGGAGAAGGCAGAAATGAAGCCAGCCTCAGCAGGGCTGCCCTTCCCAGCCACTGTGCACTGCGGTATCTGTTGGAGAGTGATACCCTGGCCCTAAACGGAAAAGCTGGCGGTTCGGACCCACCCAGCAGCCTTGCGGAGGAAGACCTGGCGATCCGCTCTGTGAAGATGACCGCCAAGGAGACCCCGCGGGCGCAGCTCTGCAGGGTGGGTCGCTGCGGTTCTGCCTGCTGCACCAGCGCACAGGCCGCCGTCGGAGGCGCCCCGCAGTCAGAACCCAGCAGGTGGAACATGCTGGGATTCCCTGGAGATCCGGGCCCGCCCCCTCCCCCGTGGCCGGAAGTCGGGTTTCTGCCAGCGTGGATGGCCCTACTTTGTCTGGGAACCGCACAGTCATTAGAGAAGGCCGGGATTCCCACAGAGGAGGGATGCACAGCTGGTGCAGAGGGGGCCTGTGGCTTCTGCTCCGTGGAAGTAGGTGACCCAGATGTCCTCGCCCTGTGGTGCACCCCCTGCTGGACCTGGGTGGTGTGGCCACGCGCATATCCCTGGAGAATCCGCCTGTGAGCGCCCCCTGCTGGACCTGGGTGGTGTAGCCACATGCATATCGGAGAACCTGCCCTGTGGTGCACCCCCTGCTGGACATGGATGGTGTAGGAGCGCGCATATGGGAGGGGCCGGCCTCATGGTGCCGCCCCCATTGGCTATTAGGTATTTTACGGCCAGGTCTGCAGCCTCAGTGACGACTCTACAAGAAAACAGTCCAGCTCACAGGCATGTGCGGCCATGGAGAACACCATGCTGGGCTTAGGCGTTCCTAAGCCTTCAAAGTAGCGTCTTGCTCTCCAATGCTCTGAGGAGGTGTCTTTCACCCAATGGGATGTGCCCGTGTCCTCTGTTTGTCGCTTCCACGAGCACTGATTGTGGAACAGCGCAGGATAAAGTTCATGACAGTGTCAGCGTGCCTCCATTCATCATGATGCTCCCTGTTGGTCCAGCGGTGAGGTGTTTGGGCTTCCTCACATTGAGTTGTCATCCGCACTGAAGGCCACACTCCTTGGTCTTCAGCAGCAAGAGCTTCAAGCCCTCCTCATGGTCAGCAAGCAAGGCTGTGTCACCTGCATATTGGAGGTGGTTAATAAGCCTTCCTCTAACCCTGACGCCATGTTCTTCACATAATCCGGCCTCTCTGGTAATTTGCCTAGCACACAGGTTGAATACATGAAAGGATACAACCCCGACACACCCTAATTTTAAACCGTGCAGTATTCCGATGCCGTGTTCCCCCAACTGCCACTTGATCAGGGTCCAGGTTCCCCATGGTCACCATGATGTGGAATCCTCATTCTTCTCAAGGCGATCCATAGTTTGCTATCCACACAGTCAAATGTGTTTGCTTTGTCAATAGAAAAACAAGTGTGCATCTTTCTTGTCAGCGATGATAATACCCCCATGTCCTCCCCTGACGAGCCTGAACCTCTGGCAGTTCCCTGCCAGCGTACTGCCCCCACTGTTACTTGCATGGGGTATCCATGATAGTGCTTTCCAATTTATAGGGTCACCTTCCTTTGGGATGGGTACAAATAGGCATCTCTTGAGACAGCTGTCCTCCAAGTTTCTCACCGTCGACATGTGAGTGCTTTGTCGGCTTGTGGGCATAGCTCAGTTGGCGGTCCATCAGTCCCTGGCTTTGGCCTGGTTCGGCTCATGCCTTCAGTGCAGTATGGACTTCTCACTTCGGCACCTTGCCCTTCTGCTACCTCGTGAAGTGGTGGAGTGTTGACCAGTTCTTTCTGGTACGGTGGCTGTATTCTTTCCATCTTCTCCGGATGCTTCGCGCGTCGTTCAGTACCGCGTCCATGGGATCTTGCACGATGGCCACCCGGCGCTTGAGTCCCTCCCTTCCTGAGTTCTTCCCCGTTGAAGTTCGTCCTTTTCGCTTTCCCGACTCTGAAGCCTCTGCGCATTTCCCTGCAGTGCTGGACTTTGCCGTCGCCAGCGGCCTGGGGACTTCTTCATTGCTTCCGTCTGCCTCAGTTGCGCGACGGCTAAGAGGTCACCGGATACCCACTTTGATCTGCTTCCCCTTTCCTGCCTTTCCCAGTGCCCTTTCCCTTCCTCTCCCCGCCACCCCCTGCGCTGTTCACGTAGGAGGTTCTCGACGCCCTCCCATCGCGGTGCGGGTCTTGAGCCATTGGTGTGCGGGGCATCCACTCTGGTTGCGATGTCCTCGAGATGCAGGTGGGACACAGGCAAGGTCGCGCGGTGACTCTCCTGGCCTTGTTCTACTCTTCTTCAGCTTCATCCTGAATGCCCACCCGAGCGACAGATGCTCTGTGCTGCTCCGGGCCTGCTTGTAGCTGCTGAGAGGGGGCAGCTCCGGCGTGTCTCCCCACAGACCCAGCCCTCCTGGTTTCCGTGCGTCCCGTCTGGCGGAATCCGTAGGTTTCGTCGAGTCTCGTATTGAAAGGCTCCCTGCAACAAAGTTGTTGCCAGTCTTGCAAACTGCTATCACACAGCGCTAGCTCTTGCTTCTGCTAGCAGGGTTCCACTCACCAGTAGATGTCTGCGCCTTGTCTTCTCATTTGGAGTCCTGCCCCACTGGCCGACGAGAGCCTGGAAGGCTCGCCTCCCCAGGGCTACACTCCCGCTGTCCACGGCGTTGTGGTCAGTTCCAGTGCGAAGGCAGCCCTTCCCGCCGTGTGTTAGCGCCTTCTGGCTCTGTCCCGCTGCTGTCCATGAGGTTGTCAGTGGGTAGCCCCTCTGGAGTGGACAGCCGACTCCTTTGGGAGCCCGGCCCTTGCTGTGTGCTGGAGAGCCCTGCTTGGTGTCAGGAGGGTCGGCTGTGCAGGGTGGGACTCTGCTGGGTGTCAGCAGAGCCAGCTTCCGGGGTACCCTGGAGGACCGGCCGGCCCTCCTGGGTGTTGGTAGCATGGCTGTGTGTGTGTGGAGGGGGAGGGGTGCAGCATCCAGCTTCATGAGGCTGCCCCCTTGTTGGAGGTCAGCCACACTGGTGCCCGTGCCGATTCAGGCCTGGCCTTGCTGCCTGGCATGTGGGGCCTTGGTGTCCTCAGTGCCTGTCTCCCGTGGGAAGCCCAGCCTTGGCTGTCATCGCCCCTGTGCAGCGTACCTGCATGTGAGCGGTGCCCTTGGATCTTGTCACAGCCAGGGACCACCCACAGGAGCGTCAGGATGGGGCCGTCTCATGAGTGTGAGGAGGGGTGCTTTGAGCAGAGTGCCTCCCCACATGTGCCCCACGGGACCCTACTGAGATGGCAGCTGGTCCTCACGTGCATCTTACTAGGCACAATGTGGGCGGGCTCCTCCCTCGGTGTGGCTGGAGCCCAGTCTGCTCCCCTTGGCCCTGGCACCCTGTCCGTCCCTGGCGAGGTGCCCGGCGGCCACCCGGACAGCACAGCACAGCCACCTCACACCCGAAGAGGCGGCCGTTGACCTGTACAGAAAGGAAGGAGGGTCCCTGTGGGGGGACTCTGTGTGGCTCTGACAACCGTGATGCCTGTCCCTCCAGATATGACCTGGACGCCTGTGACATCCAGGAGAAGTACCCAGACCTGTTCCAGGTGAACCTGGAGGTGGAGGTGGAGCCTCGGGACCGGCCGAGCCGAGAGGCCCCACCCTGGGACGGCCTGAGCACCAAGGGGCTCAATCCCAAAATCCTCTTCTCCAGCCGCGACGAGCAGCAGGAGGTCCTGTCCAAATTTGGTGAGTGGCTCCCTCTGTCTCCCACGGGCATCAGGCATGGCCCACGTTGCCCTCTGTCCCCACATCCGGCCTGTGCCCAGAGTCTGCAAAGGCTAAGAGGGCCTGGAGGCCTGTGCTTCCCCCCTCTCCCCCCACACACACACACTGTGCCCGAGGTGAGACGGCCCCCGCCTTCTGGCATGTGTGCATGCCCTCCTGAGCAGGAGGCGGGGGACCCCCAACGAGTGCAGAGCTTTCCTGAAGTCTTCTTCCTAAAACTCAGTGACGCCACCCCCGGGCTGAGGCCCAGCAAACGGACAGTCCAGGCCCGGGTGCTGCAGGCCCAGGGTGGCTCCCCACAAGGCAGGCTTGTCTCCAGCCCTGTCCCCTCTCTGGTGCGGCTCCAGAGGGAAGGGTTCCTCTTTGGGCCTGAGGGGGTGCGTGTAGTGGAGTTCTGAGCCAAGCGCCAGTGGTGGGGGGGTGGCCCAGCGGCCGGGGCCCACCCACCTTGAATGAGCCTTGCAGGGAGTGGGTCCGTGGCGGGCACGGTTGTCGAGGTTTGTTCTGTATGCCCAGGACCCCCAGGTCAGGCAGCTGTCTGTCTCCTGTTTCCCAGCAGGGTGCCCAGAACAAGGGCATACAAGGGTACGGGGGTGGCAATGGGGGACAAGACTGGGGTGTGGGTGCTGGTCACTCACGTGCATCTGTCGGCACCTTCTTGGTTTTCGGCCTGCGTTTTCTTATGTGAAGCGAGCTGAGCACCCCTGACAGGCATGCGGGCGTGTGTGCACGGGTGCAAGCTCGTGTATGCCCCACATGCATGCATTTCTCTGTGTACATATGTGAGTTCCTGTGCTGCATGCACACACATGTGAGTTTGTGTGTGCGTGTGTTCACTGTGTGAGTCCCTGTGTCTGGGCGCATGTGTGTGCAGGTGGGGCTCGTGTGTCTGCAGGTGTGTTCATGTGAATTGGCGTGTCCGTGCATGTATGTGTAGGAGTGAGTTTGTGTGTGTACATGTGAGTCTGTATGCCTGTGCATGTACATATGTGGGTGTGAATTTCTGTATCTTTAGGGGGGGGCTCTGAGTTTGCGTGTGCTCATGTGAGTTTGCATGTCCATGCATGTATGAGGGGGTGTGTGTTTGTGTGTGCATACATGTGGGTTGGCATGTCCCCGTATGTATGTAGGTTTGAGCTCCATGTGTATGTGTGTGGATGGGTGTGAGTTTGTATATGCATACATGTGAGTTGGTGTGTCTGCATGTATGTGTGCGGGTGTGAGTGCCTGTGTGTCTGGGGTGTGAGCTTGCATGTGTGTGCATGTGAATTGGCATGTCTGTGCATGTATGTTTGCAGTATGAGTTCCTGTGTGTCTCTGTGTGTACAGGGTGTGGTTTGCATGTGTGCACATCTGAGTTGGCATGACCGTGCATGTATGTATGCAGTGTGAGCTCCTGTGTGTACGTGTGCCCATGTGACCCGGATGGCACCGGAGTGGGCAGCTGTGACGGTCACCATGCATCTAGCCAGGAGACGTGGGTCTCCCGTGCTGTTGGAGCGACACTGGCATGTGGCTGCGTTGGGCTGGGGCTGACCTGTCCCTCCTCTGACAGGGAAGCCCGAGCTCCCCAGGCAGCCCGGCTCCACAGCCCAGTATGGTGCTGAGGCCGCGGCCCAGTCCCCAGAAGGGGAGACCACAGGGTCCGACTCACCGCAGAGCACCACCGATGCCAACCGCTTCCTCCACACGCTGGACTGGCACGGTAGGGGCCTTGCACCACCGGCCACCGCCACCCTGTCGGCACCCCCAGACCCTCCCATCACTGCCTCCCATAGCCTGCTGTCCCGTGCGCTGGAGGCATGGCATTGGGCAGACCCCGCTGCAGGCTGCCCATATGGGGTCGCACAGCATCCCCTCATGTGACTGGTGAGGGTTGAGGGGGAGGGAGAGGGGAGGGAGCGAGCTGGGCACCTGCTCCAGGCCCACATGTGCAGGTAGGCTCCCCCAGGGCTGCCAGCGTGGGCACCTCCACCCACAGACGGCCTGCTTGGCCACCCAGGGGTGTTGACAGGGCACTGCTGTGGGGGTGGGGGGGGTGAGTGAGGTGGCTCACCTGCCCAAGGCGTTTTCCGAGGCCTGCGCTGAGGGGCACTGCTGTGTGTGCCCCACCCCGCGGGGTGTGTGTGTGCGTGTGTGCGGACTGTCCCTTGCAGTGTGTCTGCGGGAGTGCAACTGTCCATGATAGGGGTGGGGGCAGGGGCCGAGGGATGGGCCCGGAACACAGTAGTCGGCTGAGCCGAGTTCAGCCCGACACTGTGTGCCCTCATGAGCCTGAGCACCCTGCTGCCCGGTCCACACCCCTCACCCATCCCTCCTGACTGGGCCCATCCCTGGCCCCTGCTCCCAAAGCCGGGAGCACCCACCCTCCCTGCTCCTCTCCCCATCTACTTCCCCCTCTGTGACCTGGGGTCTGCCGCCACCTCCTGCTCCCAGAGCAGCCCCAAGGAGGAGCTGAGGACAGTTACTGGACTCCGAGGGCCCTGGCCCCCTCCTGGAATGTTGGCCTGCCTGACCCCATGGGGGGTGGGGGGCAGTCCCCATGTAGCTCAATGCACTGTCAGAGCCTCGGTGACAGCTGGCGGTCAGCACCGTCCTGGGTCGCAGCCGTGGTAGGTGGGGTCTGGCCGGCCAGCACCGTCATGGGCAGTGTCCCCCAGCGGACCAGGCTGACGGCCGGCCAGCACCGCCCACTGGGGATGGCATCCCTTGGGGACAGACAGTAAAGCAGGCTCAGAGCCGCCTCCTCTCATGCCTTCCTGTCACCCGCTGGCCCGGCCACCTGTAACTCCCTGCTGGCTTTGTCCTAGAAACTGTCCTGCCCCCACACGACCCCTCGTCCCTGCCCCTTCTTGGCCCTGGGCCCCCTCCAGGCATCCCCTCCTCAGGGGCTGTGGGGACCCCTCCTCTTCCTCTCTCCGACCACGGGTCTGGGGTCTGCCGTCCTCCGTGGTGCCCCTGAGTCTCGTGTCCCTGACCCGTGCTCTCTCCGCAGAAGGACAGGAATCGGAACCCGACGTCGTCAACAGCATCCCCAGCGAGAGCCCGCTCGTGCTGATGGGCGACCGGGACGAGAGCGAACAGTCAGAAGGGGAAGCGGCTGTGGCCTGCCCCGAGGATGGCTGGGGGGGCGCGGCCGAGGGCAGCCCAGCAGGCTGTCCGGGGACAGCTGAAGAGCAAGACCCCATCTTTGCGGCCGAGACGCCCTCTCCACC